GGGGGGGGGGGGGGTGAGTGTATAAAACGTACAAAATAAAATCGTAAACATATACGGCCCAAAGGTTGGGGGTGGGAGACTCCGCTTTAAACCGCCACTGGCCGGTCCTTCCCTCGTCTAAACGTTTTACAAACGATATAATAATATTTCAGGTTATATTTACCGTCACAATAATATTGTAATAATATTATGTAACGATATTAGGTACGAGACGCGCGCACTAAAAGAAAAGAAAATCCTTAGCCCGGAGTAAAATTTATCGCGTTATTTTCGTCGGATCCACCTACCATAGATCTAATAAGTAGTTACTGTACATATATAGGGTGTTTTTTTTTTTTTTTTTTTGTTCAACGAAAAGTAAAACCGTATTATGTAAATTTTAATAATCTTTACCGACTTCTACCCGTATACGACGCGTATTAGTAAAGTAATAACGATAATAATAATAATATATTACTATAATAATATCGTACTGTGTACGGGCTATTATACGTGTATTAATATAGCGCTGCAGCTACAGAAGTCGGCCTTGATGAAGGGATATTACCGTGCGATCGTCTTATGCTACGTAACGTATTTTACGAGCGCACACACGTACACACACACGGATTTACAATGTATATTATATATATAATATATTATTATTTTTTTTTTTTTTACTTTTTTTTCCTACATATACGCAACGCATTATTATAATGCTCCGGTGGCTGGGGCGGCGGCGACGGCGGCGGTAGCGATGTTATGCAAATGCGCGACCGGACAGGTGCAAACAGTGATTCTACACACACATAATATAAATATAGGAATATTAACCTTGGTCGAGGGTCGTGATGCGGAGATCTCTCGTAGGAACACACGTATATTATAATGTACTATATATTTTATGCGTGTATAATAATATTATACGGAAAATATAGATACGCCGAAACGTCTGAAACACTTGCACTCGCGATAGGTTGCGATTAGACGTTGCACAATAATAATAATATTTATATACGAGTTTATCGGGGCGATTTTCAAGGTGACCGTAGTAAAATTCGTTGCTACATTATGTCTGGATAAGTTTCTACAAATATGTAATATACATACATTGTATATTTATGATATTGTGTGTGTGTGTGTGTGTTTTTTTTTTTTATTTTGTCTCTCCGTCAAGAACTATCGTCTACCAGAAATATTACTCCGTTTTCCTAGTGCGACGCGTTTTTTTTCAGTTGGCGTATCGGGACGTCGTTTTATTAAATACAACTAAAATGTATTGTTGCGATCGGATTACTCGATAAATTTACAACAAAATAAAGATGATTTGTTAAGACGGAAATGATTAGCAATCGTTATTGATCATCTATTCTTTAAATAAAAATAAATTCTAACAAAATGGAGCTCGACATTTAAATCATCTGCCATCGACCTTTTAGCCACCCCTGGTCTGCGAAAAGTCAACGATTCAATTACTCGTAGATTGTTTAAAATATGCGATCGATAAAAAAAAAAAAAATTTCTTATCGATTTACTGTGAAAGGCACACGCGTGGTTCTTTTTAGTCAATGCTTACACGGCTAACACGACTTTTTCCGATTCGGATTTGCTGTTGTGTCCTCGTCGAACATTTTTTTTTTTTGGATTTATCAACACTATTAATGTTATTAACTGTTTTATGTTGAATCACGTTTCGAAAACCATAGGTTATATTTGTAACATTGCGAGTATGCACACATATAATTGTATATTATTGCAAACATTAAGCCAACATAATTACCTTGATATAATTACTATAATGGACTTCCAGTAATCGAATATTATTAAGCTGAATTAAATGATATACTTATATTCTATTACATAAAATTGGTACAGCTCCGGTAATTTTTACGGGAATGACAAACTGGAACCGGGTTTCCAAACATGCTATTTAAGACTTATATAATGTGCCGTGTTTATATGAAAAAAACAAGACCTGTTAAAAAATGTATATACACTGTGTACAACGATAAATCGTTGCAAACGAAAAACCAATAGATCCCTCACTACGATCCGAATCTACAAGACAATTCTGAGCGGAATAGTAGTGGTGGTATTAAACGTGTTTTTTGTCCCACAGCCAAGAAAAATCAAAATAAAACCGAAGTATCCACTCATTTTTGTCAGTATCGAAAAACTGTTTGGTAGCTAGACATCATTTTCAAAATAAACTACCACCGGCATTCATATGAATTTTTTAAAAGTTCAGCGTAAAAAAATTGGAGCTTAACCGTAAATAATAATTATAACAATGAGACAATGTTTTGGAAACAGTTATACAAATTTCTAATAGAGTACAATCAAATATTTTAAGGTGTAATACGAACAAATCGAAACATATTTATTAACCAATAAGACGTTTTTCTAGGGGAAAAACTTATATCATTGTGAAACTAATAGTTTCTTCGCAACACTAAGCGCCCGAAAACCGCAAATATTTTTGTATTGTATAAGTACTTTTTTTTTTTTTTTTTACTTTCGGACACTATTATTACAGTCGATGTTTGCGAATAATTACTCTTTCAGAATCTCCCACGCAACATACCCACCTACTGCTACATACCACCGTTGTTGGGGTAAATAATACTGTGTAAATAGTATGTGCCTACTGGGTGGTACCACCATACACAACGCGATGAGAATGACTTATTCCAATTCGAATGAATTTAGCGTTAATGTCTTAGTCTTGTTTCGTTCGCTCTTAAAATTGAACATCAACCACACGATTATTCCCATGTCTTAAATTAGTATTTTATCCGACCGAAGAGTCGCGTTAACCAACTTTAATTTTCTCACCAAACATATTAGAGGTGTTCTACTGATGCACCTGAGCTATTAACAGAGATTAATTTTTTAGAATTTCTGGTAGATCTTTGCTCCTCGATCAGCTTGTTCCGTTTTACGTCGCTTTTAAACGTTTTCATATGCCGACTTCAATTAGTGTATCACTGTACGTAAAAATTGCGATTTGCTTTTTTTAACTTGTGTGTATTTCGGGCATCCGCTCGCAATGCGCGTAAAAATGAAAAACTAAATTCGATATTCAGACCAAAATCGGTGGACGTCAAACGTCCGGAAAAATTTGGAAGATTCTATAGAAAAGAGGCGAAATCGACGTTTGAAAACGGGCTTAACGTAACGTAACGTAATAGACAGAAAACCGTACAACGGTTCGCAGGATGGAACCAACAAATTATTATTACACCGTAATACATAATTTTTTTACAACCCCCTCGAAATCGGTCGAATACAATGGACAAAAACTCTCTTCCCCTCCCCCCCGTGCACATTTATAATAATATTATGCGTAAAGACCGTCGTAAACTCTCGGAGAGGCTGTCGTCGACGCACAATCGAAAAATCAATCGTCCGTGCAACGCGTATATTTACCATAACGCATTTATTACATTTAATGTTATTGCGTTATGCGCTACACGTAAGTGTACGTGAGGTACGTGGGATTTAATGGTTTTTCGTGTGTCGGGCGGTATATTAATAATGTATTTATTGTAATGGCGCGGGAGGGTTGCGGCGGCCGGTTTTCCGTGCGTCTTGACGCGCGCGTACAGGTGCAAATATTATTATTTTCTCGATTCTTTTTTTTTTTTTTTTCGCCCTTCGTCCGTTCTCTGTCCTCGGCGAAATATAATAATATTAAAAATAATAATAAAAAGCCCTTTGATCGCCGGTGGGAGGGGGCGGGGTGGAGGCGAGCGGGGTGGCGCGGCAAACAACAACAAATCCCGCGCCGCCGCAACGAAAAAGAAAGAAGAAAAAAAAAAAACGACGCGCACGCGGTACCCTTGAACGATTATACAATAATTAATACCCGGGTATAAAATAATATTATTATTATTACTATACTATAAGGTCGAGGGGGGGGACGAACGGTACGAACGAGGGGTAACCGCGGGCGTGAACTCGAGCCGTCTCCGCGTACCCGTGTGCGCTTTATACACCCATACACCTATTGTGCGGCGGTACCTGTAAAAATAATATTTATATTGGTTTATACCCGTACGACGGTATATACCTGTACGCGTTACGACTTTACGACGAAACTAACGCCAACAGGTGTGTCCGTTACATCGCGCCGCGGGTTGTTTACGACGGCAGGACTGCGCAGCGTCCGTGTAAAAACACTCGACGTCTAAGTGTTTCGAAAGGGCGCAGGTAAACATGACCGTAGCGCCCGCTAAACGTTATCCACAATGGGGTTAGGTCAACCTGCGGATTGTTAGACGACGATGGCCTATAATTAATCGCTCGTAAAACACCGATTTTTTTTTTCTCCACCTTACGTGTCTGAAAGCGCGCTAAACACGGCATTATAGGTTTTTTTTTTATGTACAGGGAGGGGAGTGGAGAGGAGGGGTTCCGCCGCCACCGCCGATGCAGTATATTATCGGACCAGTTTAATAATAATAATAATAAACCCGCGTGTAACCGGGTATAAGTAAACACGGTTCGTTTCGTTGAGGGGGACCGAAGAGTTTTGCGAGTCTTATACACGGGACAATAATCGTTTTGATCATGGGAAAATCTAGTCCGGTCCAGGTGTCCCTCGTATAATATAATTCGGGTAGAGCTGGTAGTACCTACCGTGTGACCGTATTACATAAACAATAGTCACGGATTTAAGTTTCGAAATAATTTGAATAAAAATAATACGTCTCGTACACTAATGCGAATGTGCCAAACGACTGCTATAATAAAAATAAAACATTCTGCTTTCATAGAATTTCAGTTGAGTTGTATTTTCATAGATGGTGTTTGAAGTCTGCGGCTGCCGGTGGCTTATATTACGTAGGACACCGAAAATGATTATTCGTATCGGTTTTATCTTATCATGTTCTATGATAATACGAGGTCTACAACAACATCAAATTGACTGAATGTATTATCTCTATTAAATTTAGAAAATTAACTTCTTCAAAGCTCGGATTATTTTGATATATTAACTCAATTTGCTACAAGGAAATCCAGGAAAAAATTGATATTTGTATTTTATATAAATGTAGTTACCAAGTAATTAGTCAAATTCTTAGTTACTAAACACTAACTTTTATTTTACTTTGTTTTTATACAATTTTTTCAATGTAAAATGCACGTTTAATAAAAAGAATACAAGAGATTTTATTTATTGGTTTTAAAATGATGTTTATTTATTGTTTTTTCCTATAATCAACTTTTCTATCAGCAATTTTACTCCGATTTACTATGATAATAAATATAATAAGGACGCCGTTTTATACAAGGCCTAAGGGCGGTAAATTTCTTGATCCGGCACTGTGAATTGCTTTAGCGTTTTATATTATATTATTCGTAAGTACTCCTTTTTTTCAGTCCAAAGCATTGGTTGTATGACTGATGTCTATTCTATCCGTCTATTCTCGCAGTTCGCTATCGCTTTATAGTTCTTTTAAGCTCCGCATATGCGCGTTTATTCTGGACGTCTCCCATCACTTGCTTCACGAACGGCGTCCTTGGTCTTTGATTTCCTGTTTTCCATCGATTTTCCCTCAACTATTATTGCCGTTACCCACGGCGTTATTCCTTATTAAACGCCCAATCCGTTTTTTCGTGTTTTCCTTAAGCGCGTTCCATATTGACTGGTGCGTGTCTGCCCGGCAAAGAACCTCCTCACTCCTTGTTTTTCTTCTCCGTGTGATTATTAGCGCTTTACCCCAGCACCACGTTTCAAAGGCTTCGGTTTTGGCTCGCTTGGTATAAAAAATGTCCATGTTTTGGTTCTGTACATTGCCGTGCTCCACACCGGGATGTTGAGATCTCCTAGCGTCTAAACTCATTGCCTTTGTGACGGATTGGTCTGTATTTGTAATGAAAACATTTTACTTTATACGCTATCCTACGATATCAAACTAAATTTCTTCCACTACTCGTGCTTCCTGCTTTTTCGCTTCCTAAACGTGTAAAATCATTCAGCCCGTTCAGATTATGCATTTATACGCGTTGTTTGCTGCTTACCGGTGCACCTAACCTATCCTAGTTTTCCAGTTTGATTTGACAACGTAAACGGCACACAATAATGCCGTATGAATATAGTGTAGGCCAAGGGGCTGAGACGGGTGCCAGTTAAAATCGCAAAAATAAACCGCGAGAAATAAACATTGGAAATAAAAATCGCAAAATGTTGTATCAGCGAAAATTTTAATATTCTTTTCGATAAATTTTTCCTAAACTTACAAGATACGAGTAGATGAACGATATTATCATCACGGTACACGGACTCAGCTGAGACGCCGTTCTGTTACGAAATGTCAATACGGCCAGTGCCGACAAAATATCATTCTGTATTATATATAGTAACAATTAACGCCATCGCGGAGAATATCGTGTGTATACAGTTATTGCTATATTTACACAGGTTATACAATATTAGTGTGAAAACAGTATCACCAACGAAAGATTCGATTAGATTTTAAAAAAAAAATTTCCATACGATAAAAGATAATAATAAACCTACGTATGGTTTGATACCTAACGACACGGCGAGAAAATACATATTATCGGTTCGGTTGTGGGTATATTATACATAATAACAATATTATAAAATACGGTTTTAACGAGTCACGACGTACTTTATTTTTTTTTTAATATATAGATTCGTCCGACTTATTTATTTATAGATAGTGTATAAAACCGTTAACACGAAATCTGATTTAAAAAATTCAAAACATCTATCAGAATTAATGCGACACGTGTAAGTCCACGAAAATACGATACATTAGGGTTTACACCGAGCGGTATAATAAATTACCTATATTTATTATTATTTATTTATTTATTTTTTTTTTTTTTTACGGGAGACAGTTTCCGCGTGTTCGATCTTTTTTAGATCTTTTATAGTCGGGAACACGTATAGGTGGTATAGGTATTAAAGGCGCACACACGCCAACAATCGGCGATAATCGGATTATTTCTATTAAGCATTTTATTGTCTCTGCCGGTAACTATACAATGTTGTATTATACCGTGTTACGGCCGTCGGAATAATATATTATTATGTTCTGACCGCACAACACTCAATAAGAGACTATAATGCTATACTCGTGCAGCGTTTACGGTTGCGTAGACGTTGATTGATATATTGTTGAGGTTAAGTTTACGCCTAGCATTATCAATTAGTCATGAAATTTGCATTTTTCCATCATCATCGTAGTAAATAGTAATTAAACAAAAAAAAAAAAAAAAAAAACAAACTCAAATACAATATTATATTATCGAGTGCACACAGTCGGTAATAAATGTGTACTCCTGTTAAAGATCTGTGATTTAATTATACACAGACACAGTTAAATATTTTAACTGTACAATAATAATGATAGTGTATTTTTAAATTATAATAAAATAATAATTACTAGTTTCGGTCTAAATAAAGTTACATAAATATCAAATAAAAAAGCTGTCCTAGAATAATGGAGACGGGTGCAGCCACTGTTATAGATAATTAAATGTAAACCTGTTAGCGACGACAAACCATTGATAACGAAAAACCGATTCTGAGCGAAGTTCAGTTGATAGTGATACTTTGTCAACTATATACTATATGTCATGTTATCGTAAAATAATTAAACAGTTAGACATTATGTATATTTTTTTTTAATAATATTTATTTAATGTTGTACCGATATTCCTGTTTTCCATACGTTTTTCCCGATTTTTCACATTTGATGAGAAAACTTTTAAGAAAATCGAAAAATAACCTCCTTAAGTACGTTTCCACACCGATTTCTTATCAGAAAAGATGATACACGTAGAAATCTGAGCAAGTCTCCTGATAGAAAAGTTGCGTACAGATAAAAAAAAAAAATAATAAAAACACATCTTTATAAAACCATAACCTTCTTCGCTACATTTAGAAGTCAGAATCTAAAAACTTTCTAAATACTATTGAAATAAAACCAATATAATAATAGACATGTCTGTTGATTTTAATTTAGCTCTGATTTAATAATTCTATAATTTCATAATATATTAATCAAGTGTAAAATGAACCTTTATAATAACATGTAACCAGTGACGTGATTTCTTTTTTTTTTTTTCCATTAAAAGATCGCTATTTACATAAAATAATTTGTGTACACAAATGAGATTGGGTTTTTTTATTTATTACAAAGTTATACCTATAATAAACGATTTTTAATCCACGTCTTCGTTTTATACGTACGTCCTACGTTAATTTCTCGACATTACTGAAATACATTATTGCGTTCCAAAATGAAATAAAAAATTAATATTTTTCCGAACTTTATAAGGCTATATTATTATAATTTAATAAAACCTAGATTTTCAATAAATAATTTATTATATATTTACATGGATACGATTAAAGATCATCTGGGTCACACGAGATGAAATAACCGAGAAAATACGGATTATATTGCAACCTTATTATATACACTTCAAGGGGACATACGAGTAGAAGAGGAAAGAACCGTTGCAAGACGAAAGAAAACACGATAGTTGTAAAAGGTCCGCAAAAAATTTGGCGCAAAACCAAGTCAATTATTTCGTCCGTCATTCGGCAAAGAAAACGTGTTTGTTACGATATCAGGCGCGCGAAACGAATTCAGAATTCCGAATTCCGAGAAAAAGAAGATCCGGAAATGAATACGTTACACATTTGTTATCGGTATTAAGAAATTGGGACGGAAACGACAGTGAAACAATATCGTAATAATATAATATATATTACCCGGTAACTTTGCTTTTTCTAAGCGAATAATAAACTCGATCGAGTGTTAGTACCTAAATATTCGAAACACAGCTGACCGCGGCTACTTTTAAACGCGTTTGAAAATGAATAGTATCGCGGAATAGTGTATAAACCTGAACTTTCGGTATCGTTGTTGAAGCCAAAAAAACCGCCCCTTCAAAAACTATACGTTTTTTATTCGAAAAATTAAAACGGTAGCAATATATACCTCTACAATAAATTATACACTATTATTACGACCGTACGCGATCTTTGGAGTGCGTTCCCTCGCGGGGCCCCGGGTCGTATAATATATTTTAAGAATGCACAAAATTAAAAAAAAAAAAAAAAAACAAAACAAAACAAAAAACAACCATATGTTTGGAGCTTTGCTCTGGTCATATCCCGACTATATTTATCCACTAACTCCCCGAGAGAAAAGTACCGAACGATAAATCTTTTTCTTGCATACCTACACGATATTAGTATTATTTCGTTTTCACGGACGCAACATTTAATTAATCGCATCACCGTACGGCTCTTGTATACGACGTGCTACGCACGTTCGTACTCGTTTGTGAATTTTTCCGGAGTTTTTTTTTTTTTTTCATTTCGTCGAGCTCCGGCTGTTTAATTAGACGTCGTGTAAAAGTCCAAGTTTATATTTTAACGTTGCGCCCCCGAACGGAAAATCGAAATTAAATTTAACATATTATTTAACACGCGCTATATACATTTTGTATACACGTACCTATATAATATCATGTATTACTATATTTAGACTAGGTTTTGGCTGCTACATATTTATTATACACGGTTTTTTTCGTTTTTTGATTTATTCGTGAAAAAAACACGGACAAGATTAAAATATCCAACGTCGGGCAACATCCCAGATACACATTATACTTTATATTTTGTGTTAATATATTTTTCATTATGGTGTCAAGTATCCGATTGCGCTAAAAGGTTAACAACATCAAAATGTAATACGATGATAAAACATAAAAATACTACATTTTATAAACATTTAAATCGGCAGTTTTCAATTTGTTTTTATTCGTGCTACCCTTATCCACGATAATCTGTCACCAACATCAAAATGTGCACAACACATTGAAATTCTAGGTTTTAAACTGTAGTTGTTAGAAGAAAATTAAGATTAATACACAGAAAAAAAAAAGCTAATACTGATGATAGGAGGGGTCAATGTTATAGGTGAAAAGTTGATAAGGTAGAATACATAAGGTTGTTTCATTTATATCTGTAAATAACGAATATAAACCATTGCTGACGAAAGAAGATTCCGAGCGCAGTTCAGTAATACATAATTTGAAGCGCCATACATTTTTTTGCGGTTGTCGTTTAAATTTGATTTCAAAACGCTTATCAGAAAAAAATACAATGGAACAAAAAAGGTTTCTTGTCATTTTTCGATTGGAGCCATACTTGTGCTAGAAAACATGGCAAGAACTTATTTAAAACAATAAAATCGTAAAAATATCGTACTTTTTTCCCGGTTAATCATTTTTATTTTAAGTACCTTTTCGAAAATCAAAAAATGACCTATGTACTTACCAATAAAATAAAGTTGACTTTCAGAAAAAGTGCTACAGTTATACATCGGTGCAAGTTTTCTAGAATAAAAGTGGTCTACAGTATACAAAAAAAAATAATAAAGTACTATTGTAAAAAAATTAAAAAATTAAAAAAAATCGTTCCTATGATTTTTGGAAATTTTACCATGTATAGATAAGTAGAACATAAATATTATTACCAAATTTTAAGTCGCTACGTATATTTATAACTGAATTAAAGCAAACAACTTCCAAAAATTAAAAATCCATAAAAGCTCAAAAGTGGCTCAAAAGTTTTAGCGATAATACCGTAAATAAGTAAATAATAAAGTAAATAAAAAAGACAATAATAAAGGTATTTTGTGATTTTTCAATTAAATCATTTTTTCTGGTAGAAAACGTCGTCCGTGTTTTTATAAAATAATGAAATCGTGAAATTGTACGTTTCCTTAAGTTTTTTTTTCCACTTAGGTGCTTTTAATTAAAAAATGTCGTCGGAAATCAAAAAATGGCATTCTGGACAACTTGAGCTTTCAGAAAAGTTGCTACACGTGAAAATCGGATCAAGTTTCCCAGGAAAAAACGTGTGCACAGACTAGAAGAAAGAAAATAAACAGCATTGTAAAATCAATAGCTCTCTCGCTACGTACGGAATCCTAAACAGTACGTCG